GAACCGCTAAAAGGTAGCTGATCACACTCATTTGGTACTTTTTCTTTTGCTCACAAAAAGTTCCTAGCAGGAGAGGTGACGAGCAGAGCAAGCACTGACCCTGCATCCACAATGCTAAACCACCTTCCACACACAACACTACTGAGCCCCTTCAGGCCAGGCCTGCAAGTACAGCATGAAAGTGCGAGTGGGAACGGGGCGGGGGGGGTGGGGAAAGAACCCACCATGTCCTAGGACAAGTTGTTAAAAAAAAAAAAAAAAAAAAATCTTAATTTGCTCATCTCCATTACAACAACAATGCAGGGGAAAAAAGAAAGCGAGCTCTCTCAAACCTGGATAACTAAGACTTAAGAAAAAACCCACAGCCTTGGCTTCATCTTCCAAGGAAGCTTGTGACGTGAAACAGGGCCATGTGGAGGTCAGTAGGCGATTTACAGGATGACCATGCAATAGTGCCTAAAAAAATAAACAAGTTAGAAGTGAAAGCAACCAGAGAATCAGCTAGGAAGCAACACGACCCCCAGCCATCGTGGAAGTGGAGACTGTACAGCAAACAAGTGAAGATGGACCCAGAGAAGTTCTTGAGGTGATTTTGTTAGAGGTACACTTTGGGATTTTTTTTCCCTTGGAATAGCCTACAGCAGTCTTACACAATGAATGCTTCTTACAGCTTGTAGATTAAAGGTACAATTTTTCCAAAGCATCTAAAGGATTTAGGAGCTTAAATTGCACTGCAAATTCCACAGGAATTTGACCTGTAATTAATTAGACTCTTCTGGAGTGTCTTTGTTTTTTGTTTTTAAAGTGGTGTTCTCCCTTGCAATCTCAGAGAAAGTGTGCTTCAAAAATCAGGATGCAATTAACGGGAACATCCCACATTACAGAATTACAATGAGCGGGAGAACTAATGTATGCAAACATTCTTTCTGATTTCTGTTTCTTCAGATTTCCTGGAGTCACTGTTAGTTTCTTTCCTGGACAAAGGGGTTTAAGGCTTTCTTGAACTAAGCCCCTCTTTATGTAGCCAACTACAGCACACTGGAAGCACAATTATGCTACTAAGATAAGACGAAACGCAGTGGTGATGCACCAATTCATCATGTTTGGGTTCTTCTAATGAAGCCCATTACTCACAGAAAAGAATTTTCTCAAGCAGTTAGTCACCAGCAGACAGCTTTCCCTGTTACTCCTTCCTTTTCTACAGCTGGTGAATAGTCTGGTCCTCCCCTCACCATCCCAAAAGTGCAATATTAGGAAAAGTCAACACCTAAATTAAAAGTAAACAAACAGTATTTAACTTTCCCTTAACCAAAAAAATTAACAATAAAACAGAACAGCTTTCAGGAGCAAGCCAACCTTTTTCATTACAAAACAAAAGACAGACAAAAACAGCCTGCTGTCCTTTTAATACTACTGAAAGATATTGAATACCTTTCTTCAGCTTATTAAAATGAGCATAAAAACAAACTACATGCTAATTACAGCTTGCATAGAAACATTTTGTTTTATACTTTGTGCAAATCTTACTAAATAAGGCTTGCTTGAGAGTTTAGGTAGCAATGCAGTAGTTATCAAAGAATGCTGAGAAACTGCAAGGAAAATTCCAGGCAGTCTGCAATCCACGTCCACTTACACAGTTCATTTGACTTCAAAGACCAACAGCTGATAGCTGCAGATCTGTCTGCAACATAAGGCAATATGGTATGTGTAGGCTCCAGCACCTGCTTTCAGCTAGTCATGGGTTTAATAGACATAAGATCACTTGAATTCAAAAAACCTGAGCCACTAGTTAAAAAGAGGGCTTCAGATGTGGATCCGTAAGAACGCCATTCCAGGGAAAAGGAAGGGAAGGGGGGAATCATAGAAGAGGACAAAGACATGAAGAAGCACAACCCTTCACATAAAGGGGTTTTGTGCAGATTTTGCGTATACTTTTATACCCTGAAATGTCCCCATGGGGCAATGTTTTTCCAAACAAACTGTCTTCTAACAAGTTATCCAGAAGAGTATTTCTGGAACAGAAAAAGCTAAAGCGTTTGCCCCTCTTCGCCAACCTACAAGTGTCTATTGCAGAAATTCAACAGGAATCAGTGACACTAAAGATGGGTGGCTGTGCAAAGAGAAGGAGATGAAGTAGGAAGCTGTAGTAAGAGCAGTATCAGAAACCTCTCAAATAAGTTACATAGCACAGAGGGAAATAATAAGGCCTAATATAAGGTAACGTGGAATAACATTTTGCCTCCTTCTTCCCCCTCCAAATCAAGTGTTTTCAGGAAATATTGAAGTACAACCTTCTTTTGTAAGCAGCTTTGCATTAAAAATCTGTTTAAACTCCAAAAGCTTTTTTAAAACACATTTAAAAAACCCACTAATAATAATCCTCAAAATCCCCCAGTATTTTGTAACATAAAATGGAGTGTTCCTGGGCAAGAGCTGCCAGCTCCTTCAGGAACTCCGGGAAAAGGGCAGCTGCGAGTACAGCATTCCTCACGTGCGTAGGAAGGCCAGGATGAGCCAGGCCTTTCTTTCCTTTCTGTCCCAGGAAAGGCTGGAGTACAGCTGGGTAAACTTCAGAGAGGTTCCTTCCTTTCCCTGCGTTGCTGCTGTGCTGGACATTACCTAAAGCCAGGAAGAGAGAAGAGAGGAAAGAAAAAGGAGGGGGAGAGAAGAAAAAAAAAAAAAAAAAAAAAAAGACTCAGTATATTAAGCACACACAGTATTTGTACAGTGTCCAAACCCAGTATACAAGGGCTGCGTTCAGAGCTGTAGTTTGCAGTACCCAGACCGTGCAGGGAGATACTCCACTAATCCAACATTTTAAAGTTCTGTGTGGCCTGATTCTATTGCATTTTTTATTAGCTATCTTTCCCCAGGTTATATATTATTCAGTTCCAGCTCTGATGAGAGAAATACGTGGGCAGAAGAGGATAAAGAGTAATATGGATTTACCTTATGAAATAGCAGATGATATCTACCCATCTAGACCCAGCACGGTTGTCTCAATTTAAATGGTACTGTGCTCTAGCCTTCCCCCAGATCAAAATATCATTTGGACTTTACTGCTCTCCCTCTTCCTCTATCGTCTCCCCATGAATCATCATGTAAACAGGTTTGAGGCTGAGCTATCACATTGCCATGGGAGTTTGAAGCAAGCTAGAAACTAAGGGAAAAATCATTTGAAAATCTGATTTTTTTTATAGCTGTAGGCCCCACTAACTACACTCACCTTCAACTCCCTGTAAAGCAACTAAACATTAGAAAAAGAGCAAGCAAAAACACCATGTGCTCTGCTATGTGATCTCTGCTGCCAGAGTTCAGAGGATCAGGGCTCAAGCATCAGAATACATGGAATTACAGTGACAGCAGCACTTAAAATTTCAATCAATTGCTCCTTGTTTCAACCTGAAGCAGAACTGCACTTTAATTAAATGATAATTAATTTAGTGATAGTAAAAAGGTGACAAAATTTAACACTGATGGAAATAAATACTTCACAAATTAAAATTAACCTGCAGAACTCACTGCCACAAGATGTCATTGAGGCCAGACGTGGAGACAGATAAAATCCTGTCTAACTGACAAGTGGATGTTCTCATGAGCTATATAAGTAAATCATTAAAAAAAAAGAAGACTGTCATATTAACTCACATACTGCAGATAAGCCAAACACTACATTGCTGCATTAAGAAGAGGTTTCCCTTGAAGTGCATGCAGTTTATGTTAAAACAACTCAGTCTCAGGTTACACCACCCTTTTTCTGAAGCCTCTCCAAGTAGCTAATGCGAGCACCCATAGATGAATGCCTCACCTGATGCAGCAGAGCAATCCCTCTGTTCAACAGCTCTGCACTTTTGTTCCTTTCCTGTAGCTCTCCCTAAAGCACTGTGGAATTACTATGCACTTCCAAATACTCAAAAGACATTTTCATCTTAATCATCTAACAGAGTTGTACTTTTCTTGAGTTTCAAAAAACTTTTCCAATCCCAGGCTTACCAAACATTTATATTGTTATTCTACAAATTTTTATCTACTAGAGAGAGTACAGGAATTTCAGTTCTGTGGAAAATTCTGACTGTGGGAAGAAAAACAACTTAAATTATGAATTACAACGAAAAGATAAAGTTTTGAGCTTCCCTTGAAGAGGTTTTTTTTTAGATTTTTCTAAAATCAAAATGTTTCATAATTAATATTTTAAGGCTCCAGAAGGCTAGTATACTGTCAAAGCTTTTCTTTTTTTTTTTTTTTTAAACTCTTCCCTTCAAAAAGTACTGAAATTGATACATTTCCCTAAAAACATTTGGATTTAGATTTAACTGCTTATTGGGGTGGGGGGAAAGCACAGAAAATTGGTCTAGGGACAAGAGATGTGATTTTTTTTCTTCGACCAGGATTGTCCACTTCTTTCTAGGGTCAGGATGCAAACTGAATCATACAGTTGAGAAATTGAGAAAATGAGCACTCCGGAGATATTGTTACCAATACACTGAAAGAAGGGCAGCATTTCATATGGGATCTACATCATGACAGCTCTACATAGCTAACCAGAACCCAAGCTAATTACTGCAAGCAGAAAATAACAAATCGTCCATTTCTGCTCAAACACCTTCAGAGACCATCACTGTCAAGAGAAAGGAAGTGCTCTGGAATATTTCAGTTTTACATTTGTGTTCCCCATTAAGTCTGGCTTCCATTTTTCAGATGTGAGTTCTGTAGGAGGCCAATTATGCTCAAACCTGTAAAGAAAACTTAGGGGTTATTCACCACATTTGGGGAAAAAAACGATCAGAGAACAGCTAATTTGCTTGACCCTCAAAGGTGGCATTCAAGTTAACGCAAAGAAGTCTTTCAGGAGTTCCTAATTTTTTTTTTTTTCATTTACCATTACTGCGGCAGTTCCTACCTTGCACTTCTTAATCAATATAATGAACTACTGTGGGTTGATGGACTACTGAGCCAACTTGCCCCTAGGATTACAGTTTGATTACTTGCACCACCAGTCTTGTTGGGAACGAAGGCTGCAGTTATCTAGGCATTTATTTAAGCTCCATCTATTTGTCAAGAAGTGCCTTCTTTACAGGAGTTGCCACAATGCAGAAGAAAATGTACCAACAGGGTGACTAAGCAGCCTTGTTTCAAACTCCTAAATAATGACCAGCATGAGTCAACCTGGCAAATTCTGAAGCCCACAGAAGAAAACTGACGTAAAATAGGAAGTATAAATAAATGCCATTGGGAATGCATTATATAAAAGTTCTTATTGCCAGCACCTGAAAAAAAGGACACTAAATGTTGCCTCCTAATCTCACCTCCCACACACTAGCTACAATACCATCTAATTGTAAAGCTTTCTAATCTATGGCACCAGAATGTAGAGCCTAAAACCCTACCGACATTTGCAATACACAGCTCCTGTACAGCAGGCACCTTCCACAGACTAATTCTTCGAGAAGCAGCCTTAGTGAGATCATAACTTTACGAACTAGATGTACTGCAAACTTTAGAAATACATACCATGCTGACTAGAAACTAGGTAAATTATTATTCAGAGCCTTGAAAAACAAAACTACAATTAAAATGGCAAATAAGAAGTCCCGCTTTCCACACCTCTGGAAATCCAAGAAACGTTATCAACTTCTTCACAGAGGTATGGGCAGAGTGGGTGATTACTGACTCGCAATGATGAGTCAGCACATACCTGTAAATGCAGCCTCTCTTGAACCCTGTTGCTGAGTCAGCTCTTAGTCTCTGCAGTCACTGCTCTCACCAAATTTGACACCTTCCCATCACGTGGGAAGTTGGCTTTGAAGGGAAACCTGCACCCAACATTGCCTGCTCAGCAGCAAGCTGAGAACAAGCACATCCCCAAGGCACAGCCCCAACTCTACCATTGCCTGGCTGTGTCTGGAAAGTTCTCAGAATGTAACCTTCTTCATTTTGCTTAGTTTTACTGGTAACTGTCAAGACAGGTGTAGCATGCACTGTGCTTGAGACGCAGCAGATGTCACAGAAGTCCCCTGGAAAGCTGGCTTGTTGGAATGATACCTGTTTAACTCCCCGCTGCTCTCAAAGTGTCCTGGCTTTTACACCCACCCACCCCTTTTTTGTTGGTTTGGTTTGGTTTTCATTCAAGAAAGCGCATTCAAAGTTTTCTGGCTAGTATCTATCTCCTTCAGTAGTAGCCCAAACCATGATATGAAGCCTTATTCAATTGTTACAGAAACCAATTCATTCTGGACTTCTGTCCTCCCTAACATTTATCAGAAAAGAACCAATGACTAGCTGAAGGTCAGGCTAAAAATAAAATGAAATCATGCACATATGCCATCTCACCTCATGCTTTGAAAGCAAGTTTGTTTACAGCCAAACTGACAGCGAGCCAAGAGCTGATTTTGTTACTCCTTTAAACAGACATTTTCTGTAGCAAATAAAAGCTTCTAGAGAGCAAAGAATATCCAAATAGATCCATATACTGTGGCCCACTGAGCATCATCAGTTTAAAGTCAGAAGAGTACATCTGGTTAATGATATTCACAAGGCACCACACCTACTTTTAATAGTGCCGTAGAAAACAAGAGCGGTAACTGGTGAGTCATTCCACCCATCCCTCCGAGCGTGGTTAACGTTTACCTTTGGTTAGCAATTCTTCCGCGGCATCAGACATGTCCACACGAAAAAGCAAGTACTGTTGGGCCTCCAGGAGAAGACCTGGGAAGTCTTTTTCAACGGAAGCAAAATGTTCAATTTTATTTTTCACAGATGCCAGCACCTGCCAAAACAACAGTAACAATAACTTCTTCCTCCCTTGCTCCCACTACAGCCACAGACCGAATACTAAAGCCTTCTCTAGCTGCATTAAAATAGAGTTATGACAAAAGTTATGGTCATACAGAATTTCCAGTTCTTTGCACAAATGTAATTAAAACATCGAAATGAGATGAGAGGCTCTCAGACAGGTGGAAAAACAACAGGTGGAACTGAAAAGAGCTAACGTAAGGTTTAACGAGACACCAAAAATACTGTTCCAATAGGTATGACTAACACTTGTGGTCAAATACCTGATAAAGTGACCGCACACTAGGCTGAAACACCATGTTGGTGTTGAGCAGAAAGGAGCGAAGAAGAGGCTGTGGGTAACTTGCCAGCTGAGTAATAATCCCAATAAGCAGCAAATTTACATGCAAGGAATTCTCCAGCATGTTCTCCAGCTTCGACAACACTACGCTGATGAACGGGCCTGCAAGAAAAGAAGAAGGAACCAATGCTTTTGTTTTCACAGAAGAAAAGCCTTAAGATCCAGGAAACAGGCATTTAAAAGGAATTTTGATCATCATAACCAGCCAAATTAGACCTCCCACATGGTAATTAAAGCCAGCAGGGAGAAAAACCAAACTGTATCTGAACAGACAAATTAACTTAACAGAGGTGTTAAAAGCTTTCGTGAGTGGAAGCTTTCACTACTAGCCAATGAGTTTACATTAATGGCATATTTAACATGCATAATTATTCTTCTTTACATGTGCCAATAAGGATTTAGCCTAGTATGTTATGGTCTACTTTTCTATTCCCCTTGAAGTTAAGTGGAATGGTACCACTAGCTTCAATGCAAACAGAATCTGCCCTTTTTACTCTTGTTGTGCTCTACTTCTACATAAGGACTGGACAAAGTAAATTATAGCTAGCTTTCTTGTCCTATCAAAAAACTGCGGTGTTCTAAAGAAAATATGAAAATGCTACCCTAAAAGTAAAAATCAAGACCTGTGGTAGTTCACATCACAAGAAAAGGCATTTTCAATACTGCAAACAGTCACACAAAGCAGGGAAGACATTAAAATAGATTTATAAGCAAAATTATTGGTAGATGTAGGCTTTGTCATATAAATGTCACCAATAAATAATAGCTTTAGTTTGTATGTTCATGCTGCAGGATAACCACTGAAATACAGAAGCATTTACCATGAAAGTACATAAACCTTAGTGCTCAACTAAAGAAATCTTCACAAGGCTGAGCATGGCTTAAACCAAATTCTACATATCGTTAGACAATACAGCCGGTGAGATGCTTGAAGCAGCCTGTAAGAGTGACCTAATCACAAGTAAAGTCTTAGAAACATCCCTCATCCCCCACCCAGTGCCACCACACTATTCTGGCTGTGTAAAAGCCAGGGAAACCACACAGAAGAATCCCTGGGTGACACAGTTACAGCATTGCTAACTTTGAATATCCACCCTAGTCCCTGGCACAAGACACACGTCACGAGCATTTCTAGAATCAAGAAGGGGGCCATAATCCGACCCCATTCCAGCTCCCCTCAGCTAGCAAACGGCTGCCATTCGAGCTACCTGGGCATAGTTTAGACCAGTTCAATACACCTGCTGTAAACTATGGCAGAGGCTAAAGCAATTCTGGGCCAGCACAACAGTAAGGATCAACTCGTAAGTGCCTACGTTGCCACTTCACCTAATGGAGCATCGCTAGAGGTTGAAGCCTATCATATTTTACAGCAACCGTGAGTACAAAGCAAGGACTTCCTTGAGACTCATCTATCATGGCTAAAGCCAGCACAGCTCCACTCACAAGAGGAAAGGCAGGAGGGCTGGTGTTAACAAGGCTTCATGTGGCTCCTACCTCTCACCCGCCATGTCAGCCATCAGAGTGAAGGTTGGTACCACATCCTGCTGGAATCCCCCCTGCCTGGGTACCCAGTGGAGCAGCCCCAAAACCTTTTATTGAGATAGAGTTTTTCCTGTCCTGACACATCCTACTGCTTCCCCTCTCATGTTCATGGAGAAATTTTCATAGAGCTCCCGAGGACCACAGTGCAGTGGGAGCTTTACTGTATCAAGAGGGGCTGCAGGAGAAGGAGTTGAGATATATCACCGTTTCCTCTGTCTAGGTCAGGCTTCAGAGCTGAGTAGATAAAGCTGAAGCTAGTACTTACTAGCTGTATGCCACTGCAAGAGAGGTTACCAAGATATATTTAAACATTTCTCAGTGGTAGAGTGACTTTTTCCCCCAATAAATTATTGGAATGAGAATCAGAGGAACTAAGCACAGTTTGCAAACCTTGTAAGACACAGGGTAAACAGATGAGAAGTCAACAAGTTATTCCTTTCCAGACTGTGCATGTCTATGTGGCCATGAAGTCAAGCACTGATTTGGGGGGGGTGGGGGGGGGCAGAATATAAATTCCTGTTCCTGAACACCACATTCTTTCTTGCTCAGGGGAAAATAGGGATGATAGTGTTGAATGCTTTTAAATTGGACATAGACACCGATAGCACATTTTCTTCATAGATCTGTAGGCCTGAAGAGAGCATCTTTGCACTGCTGACACTTACTGGGTGTGGGAACCTCTGTCTGGTTACTTGATTCTGCAGAGAGAAGCTCCATCCCTTGACAGCACCCCAAAACAGTGAAAGCAACAAAAAATCCTTATCACACATATCTACAAACATAATATAACATTCCAAATTAAATGCATTATCATATTTGAAAGACACTGCAATCTCAACATTTCTGAGATACTGTTATGAGTACCTCCTTACTTGCAATCACTAAGATCTCCATTAAAGCAAGGTAAACAGCCTAAAAGTAAAACATGATGTGGATGGTGAGCAAAGAGTAAGGCTTCCCCCCACCACCTTTGTTTTGCTGGGATGTGGGGGTTTTGTGGGTTTTTTTGAAAGGAACAAATGGAGGGAGGGACTAGATGAAGAATGAGAGACAGGGACAACATTTTTGAGCTACACGTGACAGCAGATAATGGGAAACAGAAACATTTGAATGTGATTAGCTTCTGGTACAAGGAAATTGCCACCACAGCAAAAATAGAAAATTGATTGAAAAACAGACTGAATTTTTCAATTAAGAAACAGTGCCAGGCATGCTGGCCACAGCTGACCAGAAAGGGCTGCATTTCAATGGACACGAACATTTTCTCCCTCCTTTCAAATGAACAAGAAGCCATCTTCTAGAGTTTTTGTTTCAGATGAGGAAACCTAGATACATTATTATTTTTTATTATTTGCATTACTGTAGTATCTAGGAGACCTAATTAAAGATCAGGAGCCGGCAGTGCAAGGAGATGTACAAATACAGATCAAAAGCCCACTCTAACCTCCGGTAGCACTGTCATTCCTGAGTGGCTTGGACAGTCTGCGGAGACCAAGCTTAAATTGCTGCCTGGCACAAGACAGAAAAGCATGCCAAGAGCGAGGGCGGACCGACATCGGAGGAACAGGATGCCGGGGCAGAGCATGGAAACGGGCACGTACAGACATGGCACCAGTGCTGCCACCTCGTGCTAAAATGTGAAATAGCAGAGAGGAAAAAGAATGGCAACGTGATACCACATCCATAGCATCAGAGATGAAAGCCACCAGAAAAGCAATTTACCTGGACTCTACATATAAGAACAGTTGCTCCAATCCCCTTTCAACTGCAAAAACTTTCTCTAGAATGATGGAGCTCTCACATGCAAACAACATAACCCCTGCTCAAGATTTTAAACAATTAGAAAAATGGCAGCCAAAAAAACCCCTGAGCAACCACCATTTGCCATCACCACGCTGACTGCTCTGCTCTACTTTCAGGTTGGATCTCTCACTCTCCTTGGACCAGTCTCAGCTATCTGGGCTATACCCTCTTTAGTGCCAGGACTGTTCCTTGCTCTATGCTTGTGCTGTGTGCCACACAGTGTGATCTCATTTGGCCACCTTTAACCACCATGCCTTCCTGTATTTGTTATGTATGTAATGAACAGAACATTCCACCTGTAAATGGAGCACTCTGGCTCCTCGCAATGCGCTTGGGAGAGACATCCTCCTTTGGTCCAAAGGGAGATGACATGCTCTCCACAGAAGGGGTGTCTACTGAGAAATTCTCAAAGTCCTCCTCTTCTTCTGCAGGGGAGACCGGGTCAGGAGTATCCAACTTCTGCTCTTCCAAGCTTGCACTGCTTGGATCCAGTTCCTTAATAATTTTGTCATACTGTGCAATGAAATCCTCACCATATGTGCTCAGCAGTCTTACACTTAAGTTACAATCTGCCTCCTGAGGAGAAATCCTCAACTCTAAGTCTGGCTGTGGATCAATCTCAATCATTTTCTGGTTTATTTGTTCTTTCATTACACCATGAGTCAAGCTTGAATTTCTCTTACTGTGCTCATCCAAGTCCATTTCCAGCTGGCTTTTTGCAAGAGGCCCATTGACTACAGTCTGGCTTTGGACCTCACATTCTCTGGCTACATTTAGAGTTTTCTCCCTGAAGCTGTCATCATCTTGAGTATCCTTCTGGGCACATAACCTGTAAACCATAACATCATCCTGAAAGTCTGATTCCTCTATGTAAGATCCTTTGATGAGCATGATAGCATTTTTTTTCATTTCTTGAATGTGTTTTGGTGGCTCTGCAGGTGGCTGCATATCTGTGCTTCCCAGATCATCATACGGTTGCGGTGAGCTCACATCAGAACCAGGAGAAATCCCTGTGTCATAGCTATCATCCCATTCTAGCTCCAGCTGCATCTTCTCACTGAATGGAGTTATTTGAGAGGAGCTACACATGCTAGGTGTCCTTTGCTGGAGCTGAAACATGGGGTGTTCGACATCTGTACTGTTCTCCTCAGCAAGCGTTTGGATGAAGGTGTCTGGATCAGGGTTTACTCCATCGTACAAGGCAGACCAAACCTTACAATCTCTCAGACACTGCAGGATAGCTTCTTGAGCTTCCCCCAAGTACTGCAAGTAGCTGATGTCCACAGCTCTTCCATATTCCACAATGCAAGTAGATTCAGAAGAGGGCTGTCCAGAATCTGAAAGTAAAGACGACTACTCATACCGTGACATAATAAAACAACCCACAAGTTCCCTAGCAAGGCAGCCACTAAGACATGGCAGGTAGAATCTTTAGTCCCAACCATCCAATAAGGCAGGAAGATCAAAGCATAAAGATTAAGACATTTGCTCATAAGCATACATGACTTGTACCTATTGGTAAGACAGAGCTGTAACTCAAGATTTCTGAGAGAACAGCCCTCGTTCAAACTTTAAAATAACAGCGACCACTCTGAAGCAGCAAGACTTGCAGTCATGTATCTGCACATTACTTTCATGAATGCATATTCAAGTTGGATAGGTGTTAAAATAAGGTTTCAATAGATCTGGACACTGGAAGGAATTAAATAAGCTTTCCAGTCCAGGCTTGCCCAGTTTATTTTTGCCCACCACATTTCCTCCTCCTCCCATGAGCTGCTACCAAATCAAACTCAGTTCATGATCTGGTCTTCCCCTGAGCACCAATTACCTTTAGTTTGTGCTGCTTTTGTCCATAGAATATAATCTTTTCCTTGGCTTTCAAGTGTCAAGGTGATCCCAGTGGAGCAGCAGACTGGCGTCAGGGCAAGCAGTTTTGCAGCAGACACAGAGTAACAGTCTCTCTCTTTCACAGCCCACCGCTGGCTCAACATCATGTGGTTACATGGAATCAGATACCTGAAACAGCAGTGCCTAGCATTACTTCATTGACCTTTCATGTTAGAGAAAGCAACAACATACAAAATTCCCTTCCCACCTTCCCGCCCTCTCCAAATTGGAACAAACAGTAATAATAATCTTGACAGTGATCCATATTCTAAACCTCTCAAGAGCATGAAACCCTGACTCTTTATATTGTGAAGCTACAGTTTGATAAGGAACTGTCAAGACGAGTAGAGATAGATCAGTTGCATCAGAACGGGGAAGTGAACAATCCTTTGCAGGTCAGAGCAAACTTGCTGTAAGAAGGGATGGAGGAAGTGTGGGATGGGCAGGTGTCAGAGACCAGTAGGGTGGTTTGGTCCCACTATGAATGAGTTCTGTCTCAGAATCCTTAATTTATTTGTTTTCCGGGGAAATCCAGTTTACATGTACCTGGGTAAGCAGCTAGCAAAAAGGAGAGAAGGGTGATCAAGGTGTTTTACTGCACTGGATCAAGACAGAGCTCTCAGGCAGAGAAGGGAATAAGCTATGGGGAGTACAAGGAATAGAGGAAGCGCAGTCGTCTTTAGAGCACTTTCGTTCCACTTTTTAAGAGCACTTTATTAAAAGCCTTAGTGTTAACTGGACTGATGTTTTGCCATTTAAAATGCAAACAAATTCTAAAGGATTCCCTAAATAAACAAAAAGAAGATTAAATACAGCACTCTACTGCTGTTAGAGTGGCAACATACTTGAGTGCACAGAGGTCCTAACAGCATTCCCAGGCGCAACACCCAGAGCTATAAGGAATTTCACCTTAATGCCCGTGGGTGGAGGGACAGACAGTATCTGAAATGTTCATGTGATCTATGGTGCTAAAAGCCCAATTTAGGTACACCAATATTTCCAAATAAACAATCAATTCTCTTCTAATACACACACTAAAATTTTAAGTGAGCATTCTGAAACAACATCTAGAACCATCAGTTAAAAGCAAAAATAATCAATGCATTTAGTACATTATATAACAATCTACCTACAACAGTTCAGGAACCTGCAGTATTCTTGGTGAGGAATTGAAGAGGTGGAAAACAACAAGAAAGAACTTGCAAACAAGTATATAGCTCTGTATCACAGTGTATAATACACTAGAGAAAACATGCAGGAGAGAAGAATTATACATTTAGAAGCAGGGAATAAGCAGTTTGGAGGTGATAAATGTATTCTTAGCTTCTCTTCTCTCACTTTTATAGAAATAAATCACAAGAAAAATCTCTCGCTCCTGAAGATCACAGGACGTAAATCACACTTCTTCAGGTCTGGTAGACTTTTGTCAGGATCATAAATATTCTTATCTCTGTAGTTGCTTGGATTTCTGCTCTCTTGGAGAACTCTCATCCAGCTCTGCATCCACAGGCAGAGACTGTATGTCCCAGAATTAGGATGAAGAGTGGAAAAAGGAGTTTGGTCTTTACCTTAAAACTAGCTGTAGCATCACATCTTCACAATGCAAGCCAATGAGGGTTCTGAACAATGCCAAGGAGACCACACAGAGCTGGAAAATAATAAATGTTGTCAGTTTTTCATCTAGAAATTGTACCTTTCCAATCTTCCCTGTATACTACATTACAACATCATGGTTTATAAGACACCGTTAGTATATTTCATTTCGTCAGCAGCCCTATGGGATTTTTTTTAAAGTTGTCTAGAGCCATACACATAATATGTTACATTTTAACAAAATACAATCCAGAATTTTCTTTCAAATAAGCTATTAAAAAAAGCAGTAATTTACCAGTCTTTAATATTATTCAAATTTATTTGCATGAAGTGAACCCTGTAACTTCCAAGATAGTGTGTTAGTTTTTACCTCTGACATAGAATTTGAGCCAACTAAAGGTCGTTTCTGAAAGAAAAGTTATAAACCACCTCAAGTATCTGTTGCTTTAAGTATAAGGAATGATTAGTGTTCTACACATTAAGCAGCTGAATGCTTCGATACATACAGCTTAATGTACTGACACAGACCAGGACTCAACAAGTCATTTTTATCAGAATCTACTCCATATGGAGTGTTCACAATCCCACTACTACAGGTCACTTGAACGGCTGGGAACCATAGCAAGGCCTGAAGGATCCTTTCTGTGAGACCAGGAGAAAGGAAAGAAAACCAGGATTCTTCATTGGAATTGCACGCTTGCCTTTTTGGCAAAGGTCTGATCAAATATACCCATAACTAGGTATTTCAGTAGTCACACTCAGCAGAGACAAAAATCATACCCATTCTGTGATAGGCATCCCACTTTCACACTGTCTTTAGGACAGACTAGAAACATGGATTTCTACAGGCTTTTTTGGTCACTAATTAGACATACAACACTTTCAAAGCTATCATACAGTACATTTCTACCTGCCAGATGCTTGCTAGCCACACAGTTGTGTCCAACATGGTAGAAGCATGTAAGCTTTCACTGGTTTTCATGGACCACAGCACCATCATCTCTCTGCCTCTTAATGCATATTTCCTTGGGCACATTCTCCTGCACTGCTCTTTCCTAGAAACAGTATTTCACAGCTGGCTTAGACTTCAGGACCAGGCTGACTTTTATGAGAATTATTTAGCCTAATCTCACCCTTTGCTAGAGTTTCTAGTTGGTGTTTAAATCTTGTCTCTCCCTATATTAATTACATAAACTCAAATAATTCATATATGAAATTAATTGCACTTTTCAGTAGCTAACAAAAGAAACAGATTAGGACAAAATAAGGAAAAAGCTACAGATAGTTCTCTACCTCATTTTTTCAGTCACTGAACATCCTTTGTAATTCATTCAGGATTAAATCCAGCATCCTGCCTGGGCATGGCTTCTCCTCCACACTATGGAATTTCCTCCTCTTCTCTGCAGTCATTTCCCTTACTCCCACTGTTAAAATGCTCTATTCTAGCTCTGTAGCAGCACATTGTTATGTTCCTCTCTCCAGCTCATGCTTTTCTCAAGAATGTCAACTTAAAGACTATTTCACCATTTCCAGTTCTTTTTCAGACGAGTAACTCAGCTCCCCTACAATATGATTGGCTGCCCATGGTGACCAAGATGGGATGAACACATATATTTCCTGAAAAATATATATACATACGTGTATTTTCCCTTACTTGGTAGCTATATCTGTGGAACAGCTAAACAGCAAAGTTTAAGCAAACCTCACTTGATGGCCTCTGAAAAGCAAAATTGCCTTCCCTAGTTTGGTCATTGAACTAACACCCAGAGAAGAACAAGAAAAAGGTAAAAAGCAGAGAGAAGAGAACCAGGGAACGCTCATGAGCTGGCTTGCAGTGAAGCAAAGTGGAGCTCAAACTTGTTGCCCTGCCACCACTGTCCACTGCTTGTACTAGGAGCCAATGGGAAGGTGCTAGTTAGTCCAAGACCTCGTGTCTACAGAAACAGATGGAGAAAGTAAAAAGGGCAAGAGAAAAAGAAATAACCAGAACTGGAGTTCTTAACAGGAATAGGAGTTGAAGAGCTTCCCAATAAGCTTTTGCATGAAAGGTGTGTTTTAGCCAGGGGACTGAAGGAAATTCTCATTTCCTCTGTGAAGTTTACTGAGAGCCAAGTCTAACTTTTCTTCATACTGTGAAAGTTCAAAAAAACCTGCTACGGCCTTCGATTTTGCTGTGTTTAGGAAAGTTCAGTTTATAGGGAAACACTTCTCATTTGTCTTTGCAACCATACTGCAAATCAGGAAATCAACTGAATAAGTAAACCTAGTCTATTTTTTTATTTTGTAAAAATAAAAGATTTAATATATGCTCAGGAGACAGGATAGTATTTTTACAAGGCCACCTGTCTGTACATAAGTTTAACCCTGTGAATTATTAATAAGTATTTTCATCAATACTAACGTATGCAGCTTTTGTGCTATGGAAACACAGAAGGCTGCAGTTCTGGCTTTTGCTCTTGGCCAAGCTATACTGCAGAAAACTCATTTAGCATCACAGAACATTTTGGCTGAGATCCCAAGTTGCTCAGGGCTGCAGAATTCTTTACAATTCCCATCTCGTTTGCCTATGGAACAGTAATTAATGATTAGCAGAGACAACAGCATTTGCATTTTTGTCGACAGAAGCTGTTTCAGTTTTCAGAGTTAATCCATCTTAGAGATGCAGTAACAGCAGCATATATCTGCATTTGCATGCACTCACATTTTGAAACAAATTTCGGATGAAGCTACTATCCCTAATACACAAATTTAATGCACATGCTGGTGTTTTGGCTTCTCTTGTACCTGCACTAAAACAATATTCTTTATTTCATCCACGAAGCTGTGCATCACACAAGATTCAGCCAAGACTGCCAGCGAAGCAAGGCTCAGAAGGGTAGTCCAGTGCAACAAGTAGTCATTTTCTCTGCCAGAAGATCCAACTGTTAGCAAAGGTAACTGCTATCTCTGTCACCTAGCTCTCCAGCCACCGTGGTACATTGTGCCTCGGCAGAGAAGGGGCTCACTGCAAATTTGAGATAAACCTTACTACACAGGGGAGTGAAGGCAAAGAAAAGGAAGCACCAATCTGATCACTTCAGCAAGAAAATGCATTCTTTTAATCAAAGAAGCAAGCAGGCAACATCACAGTTAAGCAAATATGCTACAACAATACAGACTTGATTCCTGAGAAATATATTGGCAGTACCGCAGTTCACAACTTGGATCAATTTGGAGACATCCTTACGAGGCCCCCATCATCTCCCACAAGGGCTATTTGAAAATGCTTGTTGCTTGGCAAAACTCCAAAGATCAAAAATGCTCTTCGCCACAAGTATATTTGTAAGTCCCAGGATGAGTTATCTACAGCAGCACTAATTCAGCAGTATCCAGCATAAAAATGCTTCCAAATTTACCTTTAATCTTCTAACAGAATCCAGACTTCCAGAAGCCCTCATCTCCCTCTATCGCATTTCCTGTATGTGTGAAACCATCTCACATATTTATCAGCTTAATATAGTGATAGCTAAATATCATCACACACACAAAAAAAATGAGGGGGTTGGAGAAATTACATATTTGGGTGGGAGAAAATTCCTAGTTAAAAGATACCCACTGAATATAGGGAATCTCCCATTTAAATATTTAACCTACATCCATGCTGAGGACCTGAACTTCCTTCCTGCTTGTCTTACCCGGAATGGTGTGTTGATTCGGCTAGTAAGTGTATCTAGGATATGCACATTCTCATGTCGGTGCAGCAAAATAAAACGGAGGAAAACCTTGAGGAGGGCTGGCTCTGAAACACTACGCAAAAAGAGATCCAGGTATGCAGTAGTGGTCATCACTTCTTCCACAGTCACCTACAAGCAAAAATAATGTAAATGCAAACATACTGCACACACAAAATATCCATCCATCCTCTGCAACTGTATACCTGGTAAACACTCTAAGCTCTCCATATGTAACACTGCCACAAAAACACTGAGGTCTTTGCTTTTAAATTTGCAAAGACCGTACTTCTGAATGACTCACAAGCATTTTGAACCCATTTCTTATCTGTCTTCCTTCCCCAGGAAAAAAAATCCTCCCTCAAACTGACACCCCAAATCTCACACACACTGAAATACACAGAGCCAAATCATGCTAGAAGCTTCCCACCACCTTTCTGCCCATGTCAGCTCTTTTGCATCATGTTTCTGTCATCCTTCAGAAGCATCTTCAGACATTGTGAATACCTGCATCTACCACTTTATTAAAAATAAATGACAGAGCACAATCAAAGCACAGTACAAACTCATGGTTCTAAAGCTTTAAAGAAAATATCCCCATAGCTATCCAGAATTTTCCCACAGCACAACTCCTCATCTCACTCAATTTTTAAATGGAGTTATGTATATACATACATACACACACAAACCAAACCCCAAAATTTTCACTACTGACTATTTGTATATCAAAATACAATTCAAATATCCATGCGATATTTGCGTACCATAACCCACACTGCTCTGCTTATGGCAATCCTTTGGAGCTTATCTATTCACAGTATGCACTGGCAAAGCACAGAAAATTCCAAAGGCCACCTCTGCACCATGCACTGCTGTTGCAAAGTCAGCTTTTTAAAAATAGTTACCCAGGAACCTAATAAGCTTAAGTGCATAAAGATAAACCCTTAAATACAAGAATCTGCCTATATGAAAGGAAGTATTAAACTTCTTTTGTTTACCAAACTTAGCTGGATAAATGAAAAGACTGATTTTATTAAAAAAAAAAGAATCAGAGCTGTCACTTAAGAGCTAAGAGGATTTAGAAAATACTCAGAAGGGCAGCATTTACGTAACATGCTGTAAATATTAAAATCCCTGTTCCATTGTGCTGCATGTTAGCCACGTACACAGTAATGTCATGCTGCAAATGTTCCTTTTAAAGCATTTAAGATCACAAGCTTCTTCTGGCTGGTTACACAGAACATAGGAATGCTGTATGCAGCCTGCAGACCTTATGGAGAGCGAGCACCAATAAGGAGAGCAGAGGGAAGCCCTAAAGTTAAGGTCATTGATTCACTCTCATTCTGAGGCTTTAATCTAATACTCAGCTACATCGTCCTTAATACAGTGGGCTACTAGCTCCTTTTGACATTAGAAATAAAGCACCAGTGAAGTAGCAATAGCTGAATTTTTCACTGGGATGGGAAATAAGCTCACTCTCTTGGTTTATTGCAGTAAGGTTGGTCAAAATCAAGCATTAAAATACAACAGTGAAAGGAAAGGAATGAGGCAGCACACTTTCACAGGATCTGTGAACTTTGTAATGCTAAGTAAGCAACAGCTAGACGTATTTTCTAGATCTGTAGTTGTATGTTCAGTGCTACCAAAACCAGAAATAAGAATATAGTTCTTTCACAAAATAATATTTATTAACATATACTCCAAGTCAGAATATAGTTTATGAATTCATTCATTCTCCTTCCCCCACAAGCATCAAATGAAACAAAAAAAATTAAAGTTACTAGGTTAAGCACCCCAAAGTTACAAATTGCCAGAATTAGCACTGTGGCTACAGTCCTAACTCAAATGTTGTATTACTGTAAACGTGATAAAACAAACATGCTTATGCACATACACACACTTTTCCATAGGACTACTGCCACATTTCAACCACCAAAAATCCTGCTCAGGAAATAAGCCACGGTTGTGAAACAAAGGAAACTCTTTCTTGTTGCAGCCAAGATCTTTTTTTCTTTTTTTTTTTTCCCCTGCAATAGCTGAAAAGTGTGGGGACTTGTGGGGTAAAAAAAATGGCTTTCTGGTGAAAGCTGTTGACTGTTGCCCTGAGAACTGGCTTTTTTTATTTTGTTTTTTTATAGCAGCAAACTGTAAAAAGCAAAGCCCAAGAAATCCATCAAGTGACATCATTATGATAGCATACAGTTCATCGAAGAGTTTAAACCCTCTGCCAAGGAAAGGCCAGACAGAAGTAATACATTGTCATGTCTCTGTGTCACTTCTTCATCCTTTTTGGGGAAAAGGAAGCACATTCTTGGCCTGCAGGTTTCACAGATGTTCGCTGACAGCAGAGGAACAGGGCTATGTATAAAATACTGAAGCTGTAAATGAAAGCAAGCAAAGCCAGCAGATTCACAAGGGCAGTGACCCCTTTCTGAAACTGATGCTCTTTGGACAACTCATCCTACATTTGTATCAGTGAGAGAAACCCATATGCTTTTCAGAGTGCGTATCATGAATGAAACAAAGAGCAGAAGAAAGCCAGCTAGAGACTACTTTAGAAAAGAAATGTCCAATTCTGTGACCATGTTCAGTGCTCCTAACAGCCTGGGGACTAGACAAAAAAGGAGATCATGTTTATCATAGCCACCACTTACTTCACTGATACCACTAAACAGAGCTAGAAGCACCAACCAATGGTTAATGAAGCCCAAACAGTTCACAAAGGAGTTACTTATAACCTTGTTAAATCTTAATTGTTTGAACTGAGGTTTTCTGTGCAGGGTGCCACATTACACTTCATTTTTAGTTCTTCTTGGGAAAGAAGTTGCTGAATCTGCTTAACCATTTTCTGAGAAAGAGGGAAGATGACTAAGTTTTGTCAAGATTTAAATGGATTTTTAAGAACCTTTTTTCATTTTTCAGTGAAAACGCACTGCCTTATCCACAACACTCCTTCAAACTTTCACAATAAATGAAGCTAGGATCTATTTCACAGCTCACTGTGCAACACTCAAAGCAGGCAAGTTAACGCTGTACAAGTGATTTTAATGCTGTCGTGTTCTAGAAGTTCCAGTGCCCTGCCAGTGCGCCTTTGTGCACGACTTGTCCATATGAACCAGCACAGAGACCATCCTTCTGCTTCCTTACAAGAGCAAATCAAACAAAAATACTGCTTTTCAGCATTTCAAATGAAAGCTATGTAGCAGCTTCAGAAAAAGATCAATTAACCTGGCAAGCAGACATCTGTGCTTTTACAATTATACCTTATTTTGCCACTGTGCATTCTGGGTTTGCTTCTCCCTTTACCATATCTGACAGTAAGCGTAACTTCTGAAGATTTGAGGCACCTAGAGAAGTATTCAAAAAGGCTAATTTTAGCTCCGTGAGGCTAATTTTCCTTTTACTCAATGGGATACATTAGCCTGCTCTGAATGAGCCTCTAGAGAACTCACTTTTTTTGCAATTAACTAGAGAAGGATGTTGGAGAAAGCAGTTATACTAGGCAAAATCCAGCCTTGGCAAAAACCCTTTTAACTCTGTAAACCTTTTCTACAGATCGCCCTATACATAATACATCGGGTGTTGAAAGTGAGACTCGTTCAATTTGTGCAGTTGTTATTGAAGATCTCTATTTTCTAAGATACCAAAGCCACACTATTAAGCTTCATTCACACTTCCTGCTGGTTGTCTCTCCTTAAACTAATGTCTCGTGAGACAGATTTGGGGAAAGTAGGGAAATCCTTTCTAGTAAATTCAAATCAGTAGTTAAGTAAACAACAAAAGAACAAATGCTCCTAGAGAACAAAACATTTACTACCCTTGTCAAGTATGTCCACTACAGTCAAATCCTGAGGCAGCTTACAAAAACATTGTCATTGTAAACGTTGATTACAGTATAATTTTTCCAAGTAAGCTTTTAGCTAGCCCTCAGAATTGAAGTGAATGTCTTTGAAAGGATGATAAAAAACAAGCCAAAACTTTCACACATCCACAAACCTGATATTTAATTTGAAAATTCTTCACCTCTGATAATTCAAGTATCAAGAAAAACACCATAAGAAAGGGAGATGAATAAAATTAAGACATGGTAGTTTTCTAGAAAAGCCCTTTGCTAAGTGAGTAAATTTCAAGCTATGTTTTTATAAAGATATTTCAGCAATATTAAAATCCACCACTGCCACAACAGCAAAAATAAAAACCCACCAGCAGCATCCCTTGCATTAGATCTTTTCTACTAACGGTAAAGCTAGAGATATCTCTGCTCCTAAGATAAAACTGTAGGATTGAAAATTAAAAATGAGAAAAATCCATATCCACTGCATTAATGGACCAGTATTCTACCATTTCTATTTTCATTGTCCATAGCTGTAACAATTAAAATTTGTTGGAATTTTTTTCAATACACATATAAATTTAAAGTGTCTATCTAAAGATAACATTTAAAACCTCATCCACATGTTTTTCTTTACAACAATCAGTTGTTATAAATATTTTTGAAGATGTAGTCTGCTACTAAAGGGACTACCTGTGATTCTTCAGAGCCAGACAGATATTTGATTAGAGATTATTGAAAACAGAAAGCTACTTTTAGCCTTGTAATACCCTTCTCTAATTACGTAATAATTTTTAGCAAATCTTTTCTCGCCTCCTCTGATGACTGATTAGATGGTGAGGCAGAACACTGTAAAGAGATCCAGCTTTTACAAGTCACTATGCCAAGTAATAGCAAAGAGCCAGAAATTACTGTCATTGCGAGTTCAGTTTAATATATTACACTCACTGTGTTAGACCAATTGCACTGATTCTTTATTACTGGCTATTTTCCCTTGGGATCCACACAATATATTTTCTAATTTACAGCTTCATGCCCTCTTACAGGAATAGGGCTATCATGATTCCTCCTTTCCTTCACGTTTCCCTTCCTTCCAAGGTTTTCACATTGCCTATGAAGAGACCATGAATGTTCCTATTAGAACTTATCCTCTAGATCCACAAGCAGTTTAAACCTGAATAAGCCCACCTCACTGATAAAAAATTCCAACCATTCCCACTCTTTTCTCATTTCTATTCATTTTCAGCTTCTTGCCCCCTGCTTATACTGGCAGAAGGGTTCATGCTCCACTTCACTGCACAGTGAATTGGCTCAGGGAATTGATTCAGGTTAAAACTATCCGGGAAATAAAGGTGAGTTTTAACCTCAATCAGTTTCCCACATGGACAGTTGTCCTGGCAAAAGAGAGAGGGGGACAAGCAGGATCAGGGACAGAGGAAATTTGCACACTGGGGGAACCAGAAAACCAGAACTGCTTCAACTTCCCTTGGCTTACCTTTATAAACTCGGTCAGTTTATACCAGGTTAAAATTCAACTCAACTGCAGTGTTTGATGCAAAATTGAAAGGCACCTTTAACACGGATTCACTCCATAGCTGGTAAAATTAAGTTTTGCAGCTATTGATGGGCTTCTCCAATGCATGAGACTATTCAAAGTTTTCCAGTAACACCTGGTTTACACCTTGTTACAGCAGCTGTCCAAATGCTTTTCAGCAAGGTGAAAGATGGTATTATTTCTAAATGGGAGATGACAGTCTTGTAGGATATTTATAAAGATGCTCCTTCTAATCTGTACAGTATAATTTCCAGGTCATTTCCCCCTAGCTGAGCTGTGTAATCATCAAGCAAGTATTACTGAATTAACACAGTAGCATACCATGTTAGAGGTTTTCATTCAGATGGGGTAGTGTGCAACAGAATTGAGGTGCATTTGACAGAGCTTATTTGACAGGACCATGCCACCGCTTCCGCAGAGCAGTTCTGTTCACTTGGCCCACAGCAATGTTTTACACTAAAAAGCTGGTACAATTTTCCGTTATTTAGATTAAAACAAGCCTTCCAAACAGAAAAGTAATTGCATCATAGTTAGCAATTAAATGCCATGTAGTAAACCAGTAAATGCTAAGACATTTAAAGTTTGCTTTTGTCATATAATTTGTCAAATTTTTAGCACTATCTTCAATAAATTGAAATAACACAAATTACATAAACACTCAAGATGTTCTAAATAGGTACGTTTGTCACCCAAATTCTCTGAATGCCAAATTAATATCAAATCATATGCACTTACAGTAGAGAGATGTATATAACCAATCTGAGTTGTATCAAAGACAGCATAATATTTATATATACCACAGTGTGGCTCCTAATTACCTAGCACATTGTTTTGACTGCAAAATATACACATATTAAAGACCTCCTGAAAAAGATTTCACTTGGATTTCTACAATAGTGCTGCAACTACCTAAAAGAATAAGGTA